CCCCCCGCCCCCGGGAAAGAAGTAGGAGATTCGAACTCCCACATTTGTTTTTCTTCTGGCTCTCCGAGGGGGGAGGGTTCGAGTTCCCCCCCCGCCGCCCCCTCCCCTCAGTGCCGGTGCTGGCGCCTGCGCTGGCGGCGGCAGGCAGCACCAACGGTGGGGAAACAGCGACGATGGCGAGAGAGAGCCCACAGGCCGCAGCGGGAAAATACAAATCGCCATATCGAGCCCTCGCTCCCCAAAAGCAACCGGGTGCCCTTAGGAAGTCCCAAGAGGCACCCAGAAGCCCTCACACATGCTCCTCAGACGCCCCCGAGACCCCTCTGACGAGATCTCATGAGGCATCTGTTAGAACTGTGACCCGAAGGCCGCACCATCACCACAACCACCACTACAAACCACCACACCACCACCACCACCACCAACACCACCACCGTCACCACCACCACCACCACCACCACCACCACAACCACCACAACCAACCACCACCACCACCACCACCACAAACCACCACACCACCACCACCACCAACACAACCGCCACCATCACCACCACCACCACCACAACAACAACAACACCACCACCACAACCACAACCACCACCACCCACCACCAATCACCACCAAACACCAGCACCAGCAGCACCACCACCACCACCATCAGCACAACCCACCACCACCACCACAAACCAAAACACCACCACCACCACAACAGCAACCACCACCACCACCACAAATCACCACACAAGCACCACCACCACAGCCACCACCACCACCACCACACCAACAACCCACCACCACCACCACAACAACCCACCACCACCGCCACCACCACCACAATCCACCACACCACCACCACCACCACCACCGCCGCCACAACCACCACCACCACCACCACCACCACGGGCACAACTTCAAATCACCACCACCACAAACCACCACACCACCACCACCACAAACGACCACACAACCACCCCACCACCACCACCACAAACCACCACAACCACCACCACCACCACCACAAACCACCACAACCACCACCACCACCACAAACCACCGTCACCACCACCACCACCACAACCCAACACCACCACCACCTCGGAGAGGCCCCAAGAGACGCCCAAGAGGTGCCCAGGAGGCTTCACAGATGCCCCTCAGAGGCCCCCGAGAGCCCTCCGACGAGACCCCAAGAAGCACCCATTAGGACTCTGTTACAAAACCAAGGCACGGTGGCGGGAAGGCCTGAAGGCCATGAGACAAACACGTTTTGACGCAAGCGCCCCCAATGCCCTTTAGACGCTCTCCGCCGCCGCCGCCAGCCGGTCTCGACGCCGGCGCCTGCCCGAGGAGAGGGAGAGAGGAGAAGGAGGGGAAGAGGGAGGAGAGGGGGGGGGGTCGAACTCCCCCCCTTCAATCCGGCGGGGGGGTCCCCCCCCCCTTCAATCCAGCGGGGGCGCCCACAGAACGCGCTCTTTCGAATCGCGGCGCTGAAATCCAAGGAATGGCGTGTTGGCAAGGTCGAGGAGATTCTCAAACTGTTGTCTTCCAATGGGGCACTTCACGCAATGAAAATGAATTCTCGTATGGGACCTATGGCGAGGGAGCTTGGGGGAGTGGTTATTGTAGCACCGTTGATGAGTCTCAGGCTTGCACTTTACACTGGTTCCTCCTCCTTCTCCTACTCCTCCTCCTCCTCTCGCTCCTCATCCCCCCCCCTCTCGCTCCTCCTCGTCCTTCCTCCTCCTCCTCCTCCTCCTCCTCCTCCTCCTCCTCCTCTCCTCCTCCTCTTTCTCCTCCTCATCCTCCTCCTCCTCTTCCTCCTCCTCCACCTCCTCCTCCTCCTCCTCTTCCTCTTCCTCTCCTCCTTCTCCCACTCCTCCTCATCCTCCTTTTCCGGTGTCCATCCCCCCCTCTCGCTCCTCGTCATCGTTCCTTGCTTTCAGGACGACCGCATTGCCTCAGATCACAACTGCGAGACACCTAGTAAAAACAAAAGACAAACACATAAAAATGAAGTTCAGCCAAATCGACCGTGACTCCATGTCTGCTTGGGTGGAAGCCTCTCTTGAGCCTCCAGCAGTTATTAACACCAGTGGCTTCTTCTCCTCCTCCTGCTCCTCCTCCTCCTTCTGATCCTCCTCATCCTCCTCCTCCTACTCCTCCTTCTCCTCCTTCTCCTCCTACTCCGTGCACCTCCATGTCCTCCTCACACTATTATTCCTCCGTCTTCTCATTGTTCCTCCTACTTATATCGTATATCCTCCTCATCCTCCGCATCCTCCTTCTCCTGTCCTCCTCACCATCATCATCATCATCATCATCATCATCATCATCATCATCATCATCATCATCATCATCATCATCATCAGCAGCAGCAGCAGCAGCAGCATCATCATCATCAGCAGCAGCATCATCATCATGATCACCACCATCATCATCTGCATCATCATCACCATCATCATTATTATCATCATCGGCATCATCATCAGCAGCATCATCATCCTCGTCAATCATCATCATCATCATCATCATCATCATCATCATCATCATCATCATCATCATCATCATCATCATCATCATCATCATCATCATCATCATCATCATCATCATCATCATCATCATCATCATCATCATCATCATCATCATCATCATCGGCAGCATCATCAGTTTCATTGTCTTCATCATCATCATCATCATCACCACAACCATGATCAGCAGCAGAAGCATAATCATCACCACCATCAGCATCAGCATCAGCATCAGCATCAGCAGCATCAGCATCATCATGAGCACCATCAGCATCATCATCATCATCATCAGCAGCATCATCATTATCATCATAATCATCACCATCAGCAGCAACAGCACCACCACCACCACCACCACCCTTATGACTATCAGCAGCAGCGTCGACATCCCCCTCCTTCTCCTCCTCTTCTCGATCCTCCATCCATATCATACTATTCCTCCTGCTCTTCCTCCTCCAGGCCCTCTACCAGATATGAATCCGCCGCCGTGCCCACTGGCACGTACGTTGAGGCGTGCTACAATGCCAAGTGCTGTCCAGCAATGCTTCTGTCAATTGCTAAGAGGCTCCCCCCCTCTCCGGGTCGAACCTCGCCGCGCGCACTGGCCCTACTCCAGGGGGGTCCCTGGGCGGCCATGGCGCCTCCCTGGGGCTCGCCAAGGCTTCCATGACGACCCAGGAGGCTCTGAAGACGGTCTAAAAGGGCCCCGAGCCTCCAAAGGCAAAAATCATTGATTGTCCTTACGTTTTTGAAGGATTGTGGCGTTCTCGCCTTTCGGCTTTCCGACACTCCAAGATGGCCCAAGAGGCCCCGAAGACCACCAAGAGTCTTCCAAGAGGGCCCCAAGACGGCCTAAGAGCGCCCCAAGACGGCTTAAGAGGCGCTCAAGGCGGACCAAGAGGGCCCCAAGACGGCCCCAAGAGGAGCCCCAGAGAGGGAACACGAACGGAAAGTCCGAGCCTTCCGCCACAAGGGACCCCCAGGAGGCCCCAAGAGCCGCCCAAGAGGCCCCAAAAGGCCCCCAAGAGGCCACCAAGGGGACCCAAAACTGCCCCCAAGAGGCCCCTCAATGGCCCCCAAAGGGCCCCAACACGGCCCCCAAGAGACCTCAAAACGACCCCCAAGAGGCCCCGAGAGGCCTCCCACGAGATTCCAACGAACATCCACTAGGCTTTTTATGACCCAGAACGCAAGCACGGTGGCGGGACTTGCCGTGGGCAGCTGGATACTGCGTCCCCCTCTCCCCCGAGGACTCCCGAGGTCGTGGCCTGCCCCCATCCACGAACTGGGTTTCACACGTGATCCCCCAAATGTGGTCCATGGTATGTGTTGTTATTTTTTTTTGTCTCCCGCTCCGAACGTCTTCGATCCTTCCAGAATGGCGCTCCGCTCCACGTTCTGGCCCGCAGTGTGTCCAAATCGTACCCCCGCTGCAGCACTGGCATCGGCTTCTGCGTTGCGGATCTTCCGAGTCGACTTCGCGCCACAGCGGTGGCGCTCAGTCTGCGCTTCCGCTCCTTTTGTTGACCCGTCCCTCTGCTCTTCATGTCCGTCTGCTTTCCCACAGAACCTGCTACCTAACGGAGTCGTGTTCCCCACCAGCGTCAGGTCGGGCATGTCCCCCTACAGGGGGACTTTGGACGACCCAAAAATAGTCAAAAACTCGTCCAGAGACTATTCTTTCACTAATTTTGAAAATTCCCCCTGCAGGGGAACAGCCCAACTGAACCCCAGCGCTGACTCTCATGTTACGCTTTCAGTGCCTCCAGGCCGTCCAAGCAGACGGCCCGTCCTGACAACCTACCAGACCACCCCAGCCAAACCCGAAGACCCGAATTTCGGGTTGGGGGGGTATGGGCGCCATATGTGTTTTTCAATGCTCCCCGACCCCCCCCCCACACTGGAAATGGAGGACCCATCGGGGCCTTCGGGTTGGGTTGGGGTGGGTCAGGAGGTGGAGGTGGAGGAGGAGGAGGAGGTGGAGGAGGAGGAGGAGGTGGAGGTGGAGGAGGAGGAGGAGGAGGAGGAGGAGCGGCCGCGGGGGTGGTGACGTCCTGCGTCGTGTCTGCTTTCCCCTGCAGCCCGTCGTCGCACAGGACTCGTGCCCTCGGCCCGCCGGGACCCCTGCCGCACAGCGACACTCCGCTGCGCCGTGGCACGCCGCGCACGGCCGTGGCACCTCTCGCACCCGCCCGGGATCACTGCCCTGCAGCGACAGCCGACTGTGCGAGCAGCGGGGAGCTCTGCACCACGGCAGGGGCCTGAGAGGGAGGGGCAGGACGTCAGGTGAGGCGCCCGGCGCCCCTGGCTCGTCGTCTCCCTCTCGCCCCCTCTCACCCTCCTCGCTCTCCTCCCTGCACTGCTCTGCCCTCGTGTGCTGGCGCGGTGCTTGATGTGGTGGCGTTGCCTCGCAGTGCACGACCTGCTTGCGCGGAACACTCCCACCGTGACGCGCGGGGCCGGCCGAGGCGCTCCTGGAGGCGAGGTTGAGCTCCACGCCCGGCTGCTGGACGAGGCAGCGCACCACGCCCAGGTGGCCGGAGGCCGACGCGGCGTGCAGGGCGGTGATGCCGCTCGCATCTTGGCGGCGCGCAGAGGGGGGTAGGGGGAGGGGGGAAGGCTTCTTAGGAGCACCCCTGCTTCTCAGAAGGCGCGGGCCCTCTCTACAGTTTTAAGGCCGAGGCCCTCTAAGAAGCAGGGGTGCTTCTAAGAAGACCTCCCCCCTCCCCCTACCCCCTTTTGCGCGCCGCCAGGCATCCGCCCGGCCGACGTCCACGCAGGGCTGCCCAACGAGGCACTGCACGACCTCGTGGTGGCCTGCAGGGCAAACCGCTACCGCCGGCCACTTTTTGGCAGGGCGTGTTTCGCGGCGTCCGCCCCCCCGGGCGACACGCTGCGCTGGGGGAGCGGCTGGCGCGGCGAGGAGGAGGAGGAGGAGGAGGAGGAGGTTAGGGAGGAGGAGGAGGAGGAGGAGGAGGAGGAGGAGGAGGAGGAGGAGGAGGAGGAGGAGGAGGAGGTTAGGGAGGAGGAGGAGGAGGTTAGGGAGGAGGAGGAGGAGGAGGTTAGGGAGGGCGGGAGGCTGAGAAGTGCTCGGGACTTGGACGCCGGGGGGCCGGACACTGGATCGCGTGTCGCGCGGAGGCGCGGTGGGCCAGGACTGGCGGCGCGACGCGCTGTGCCAGAGCTCCTGGACGTTATGGGGGGGGCATCGGCTCAGGGCGGGGCGAGGGGGAAAACATAAACCCAGAATCGGCGATCCGTCAGGTCGGCGCAAGGCGACCGACAGCGCAGCCGCACGTTCCAGGGCGGCGTGGGACTTTCGGACCCATGTCGTCGATCAACACGCATGAATGAAGGGGCCCTGGGACGCACAAATAAATAGACACAAATAACAGGATTCCCCATCTTTTCCCATATTTTCTTGGTTTATGTCTTCCCCCCCACTTCCCGTATTTTCCATATTTTCTGAGGAATCGACGATGAATTGTGTCTGTGTGTTTTTTTCCCTCCTGAATGAACCCCTTGAGCCCGTCCACCCCCCCCCCCCTCACGTTGCCCCTGCTGATGGCCGGCGTCGGCCGCCGCGTGCAGGGCGGTGACGCCGGTCTTGTTCGCCCTGTTGACGTCCACGCCCGGGTGCCCCAGCAAGCACCGCACGCACTCCAGGTGCCCCGCCGCGCCCGCGCGCCAGAGTGCGGAGGCCCCGTCCTCGTCCGCCGCGTCGATGCTCACGCCCGCCTGCCCCACCAGGTACCTGCGGAGGCCGAGTCGCCCAACCTCCGCGCTGCTTCTTGCAGGGCCCCCCTCGCTCCGAGTCAGGGGCTGCGGCCCGCAGGCTAGAGAGCCTGCTGCGGGGTCACTCCAGAGGAAGGGCGTCCCACCTCACCATTCGCGAGACCCAGACCCCCGACGTCATGATTTTTTCATGACGCGACCCCCAGAGGTCCAGACCCATTCCCCGGGACTGGCTTTTCATCCCGAGTCGTTTTTTGACGGTCCCGAGGCCCGGTAAGGGCCCTCAGAGGCCGAAAATAGCGAAAAACCTCCCGTCGTGATTTTTTCACGACGCGAGGAGGTCTGGGGAGCCTATTGCGTGGCGCCTGCGGCGTCTGCTCGGCGGCTCTTCCGGCGCCCCGATCCTGGCCAGGCACGTCCTGGGCCCAGGCAAACGGCCCGTGCGCCCTCGTGACCGACAGGCCAGGCAGGCATGCACACCGATCGGGGCCCAAGACGGGCCTCGCCAGGATCGGTACACGTGCACGGCTCTCGTCGCCACGGGGGGGCCGCCTCAGAGGGGGGGGCACCGACCTGGAGTCGGCCACGCGTCGCCGGCAGAGCGGCGAGGGCCCTTCCCGGTGGCGCGAGAGAGGCCGCGCGCGCGCGCCCGGGCGCGGTCACATAGGGGGTCCAGGCCCCGCTCGGCGAGGGAGGGGCCGATCGGGGGTCGATGCGTCCCCCCGCTGGGCCCAGTCCCCCTCTGCTGATGGGCCTGTCTTTCACCACCACCTTCACCACAAGTTGGAGGGGGGAGGGAGGTGGAGAAGGAGGAGGACAAAAGGAGGAGGAGGAGGAGGAGGAGGAGGAGGAGGAGGAGGAGGAGGACCCCCTCCCCCTCCAACTTACGGTGGTGGTAGTGGAAAACAGGCCCATCATCTGTCGCTGCCCCCTGGCTTGCAAGTCAAAACTCGGCCCCCTGGCGGCCCTTCGGGACGATCCCGACCCTCTTGGAACGCCCTCGGCGAGGCGCGGCTGCTGGGAGGCATCTGGAGGCTGGCGAGCCCGCGAGAATGCACGAAAGCGTCTGAAAACCTCGAACCTCGAGCCTCGAAAACCTGCAGTCTCCCCTGTCGCTGCCCCCGAGTGCCCCACCACCCCGCAGCGACCCGAGCCGGCCGCGGCGTGCAGAGCCGTGACGCCCGCCGCGCCCGCTCCGCCGACGCCCACGCCCTCCTGCGACAGGAGGAGCTGCAACGCCTCACGAGCAGTGCCAAGAGTGGGTCACCACCTGAGGGGCCCGCCGCCTTCTCCCGAAGACGGACACTGCCCCGCACGGGACCCCAGGAGGCCTCCCACACCCCAGACACCTGGCTGCTCCAATCTTTGTTGGTGCGTGGACCCAGGAGGTCCAGAAACCACTTCCCCGGGAGACCGGCTTCTCGTCCCGAACCGCTGCTTGGCGCTCCCGAGGCCCAGCGAGGGCCCCATGGAGGCCTACAACTGGCCAAACGCCGCTGGCTCCGATTTGTCTGGAACGTCGGATCTCAGGGACGATCAGAAACGAGTACACCCTGCGAAATGCTTAAGAAATCATGGGTTAAGAAATTCATAGTCTCAGAACTTGAATAAAAACCCAACATTTCCATAACAATCTCAAGATTTACATTGAAACGTTAAGAATAATCGAGACTCTGGCCGAAAACTTAAGTTTTCTTAAGCATCGCCTAAGGTGTATCACGCGAGATGACATAGCGACCTTCCGCGGTGGCCTAAGCGGGCCGCCGGCGCGGCACACCGCGCAAAGGAACCCTGGACCGCCGACGCGCGCGACCTTATACGCGGGCCACCGGCGCGCGCACGGCGGCGCAGACGGCCCCCGTTGCCCTGCGTCGCTCGCATGGCGCCCGCGCGGGTGGGGTCGGAGGACCGCGCCGCACATCGCCGAGGCAGCATGAAGCATTGCCACTATCCCTGACCTTCCAGAGAGCTATTTTTTAGCACTGGAAACCTAAAAACCTAAAAAACGAGACGAAACAGCCTAAAACCAAGACGTAAAATAGCTCTGGGATAGGTTTTTACGTCGGGTGCTATTTTTTAGCCCTCCTGGAAGGTCAGGGATGTTGCTCCCATCGTTCTCAAGCCCGCCCGACACGCTAGCGAAGTGTCGAACGAGTAGCGCCTCCCAGGGCCCGTGTGGAAGCCCTCCGGTTTCGGTACTTTCTTGGGGGTCGGAATTCTTTCGGGTGGTCAAGGCTAAAGTAGGCTGGAACCCAAACCCCCGACATCATGGCTTTTTAATAAAGTCGACCCTCAGAGGTCTCGACCCATTCCCCAGGACCAGTTCTTCATCCTGAATCGTTGTTTGACGGTCCCGAGGGCCGGTAAGAGCCTCCAGAGGCCGAACATACGGAGAAACACCAAAAAACGTCATACCTTTGTCACTACCCGAGATGGTCTGGGTTACCAGGTGGTGGCCCCCCCCGTTAGTAGCCGACCCCCCCGTTAGTAGGCGACCACCCCCCTTGATAGGCGACCCCCCCCCCCCGTTAGTAGGCCACCCCCCCCCGTTGGCAGGCGACCCCCCGTGAGTGGGCGATCCCCCGGCAGGTGGTGATCCCCCCGTGAGGTGGCGACCTTCGTAGGCGACGCTCCGTGAGGTTTGGGCGCCCGAGTTATCCGGGGTAACTCGGGTCCGGGGTAACTCGGGTTTGGATTCCCGAAAAACGAACCCGAGTTAGCCCTGACGCGACTTACCCCTGATGATTTTGGGGCTCTGGACGCCCGAATTATCCGGGGTAACTCGGGTCCGGGATAAATCGGGTTCGGAATCCGGAAAAACGAACCCGAGTTATCCCTGACCCGAGTTACCCCTGATGATTCGGGGCTCTGAGAGGTGGTGACGCCCTCTCCGTTCCCTGAGATCCGACGCTGCAAAAAACAAAATGCAGCTTCGCACAAAAGCACGACCAGAGCCGGATCGACCTGTGAGGGCCCCGGGGCCCGACCTGGGGCGAAAACGTCGGGGCTCGAAGAAAGCGGGTCGCCAGGATCTCAGGGCTCGCGGGCGACCCCCCCCCCCCTTGGCTTATGTCGGGCCTGTCCCCCTACAGGGGGATTTTCGACGAAAAAAGAAAAATATTCCAGAATACCCCAAAAAGGCAAAAACAAATATACAATTCTTGGTATTCTTGGATTTTGGATTATTTTTGGACTATTCTTGGATTATTTTAAAAAATTGTTCATTGGATTATTTTTGGATTATTTTTGGATTATGTTTGGATTATTTTTGGATACCCCAGACTATTTTTGGACTATTTGGGACTATTCTTAAGGTATTTTTAAAAATTGTTCATCGAAAATCCCCCTGTATGGGGGACAGGCCCGACTTAACCCCTCGGCACTGCCCGAGCCTCCACGTGCCCGCGGGCGGCTGCAGACCGCACCGCCTGCATGGCCGGCCGGCGCACGCCCGGGCGCCCGGGTGCACCGCCGGGGCTCGGCGCCCCCCCCCCCCCCGGCGAGGGAGAAGAACTGGGGGAACAAAAAGCGACATAAACATAAAAACTCGGAGGAACAGGGACAGGAACAGGAACAGCTGTTGGGCATTGTGCCCATTCTTTCCGCGCCCATCTCGTTCGTGCCGATCGGGCTTCCAAGAGATTAGGGGAACAAAAAGTGGCATAAACATAAAAACTCGGAGGTCCGCGCGGATTTCTCGGACCGGCGCTGGGGCCCCCGGGCGGCGCCTCCGGCGCCGCCCCTGGCGCGCTCCGCGCGCCAGGGAGGGGGGTCCAGCGCCGCTCCGAGCAATCCGCGCGGACCTCCGAGTTTTTATGTTGATGCCACTTTTTGTTCCCCTAAGAACGTCCCGACACCCCCCCCGGCAACCTCAGATCGCCCACGCCGCCCGGGGACGCGGCGCTGCCGTCGGGGGCCTCTCGCCGGTGCATCGGCGGCGCATCGCCGCTGCATCGGCGCCATGCTTCCGCCAGCGTTCCCCCGCGTCCACTGCCGCGGCGCGGGCACCGGGCCAGCCCCCGAGGCATCTGGCGCCCCGATTTCTTGAGGCACAGGCCCCCGACCTCTTGACCACTGCCCTAGTCCTATGTCGGGCGTGCCCCCCTACAGGGGGATTTTCGACGAAAAATAGAAAATACCAAAAAAAATATTTTTCAAAAATAGTCCCCAGACTATGTTTGGACTATTTTTGTATTATTTTTGGGTATTTTTAATTTTTCGCCGAAAATCCCCCTGTAGGAGGACAGGCCCGACTGAACCCTAGTCGTTCTTTGACGGACCAGGTACAGGCCCCGAGAGACCGAAACCCATGAATGCCTCCGCCCCGAGTTCTGTCGGGACGCTGGGCGTCGTGGACGTGGCACAGGAGCGGACATCCCAGGCATCCGGCTGCTCCGATGTTGTCGACGCGTGGCCCACGCCACGACGCATGCGCTATAAGATTTCTCGGTGCGCGCGTCGCCCCTGGGGGGGCGACGCACATAGTATTAGTATGTTGGGGTGGCTCCGAGATGACGTCCAGCATCCCCCAAAAATCGGGGCGGAAGCACTCATGGGTTTCGGCCTCTCGGGGCCCATACCAGGGCCGTCAAAGAACGACTCGGGGTGAAGAACCGGTCCCAGGTAAGTGGTCGAGAGGTCGGGGGCCTGTGTCTCGAAAAATCGAAACGCCAGACGCCTGCGCCCCGGAAGCCCTGACCCCTTCCCCAGGGCCGGTTGTTCGCCCGGAGTCGTTTTGTTTCCGCCCCCGAGACCCGGCGAGGGCCCCCAAAGGCCGACAACATCCAAAAGCCGCCTGCTCCAATTTTGGTTGGAGCGGCGGATCTCTGGGCTGGACGTCATGGCCCAGGCACGGGCATCGACCCCGCTGGGCAAGCGGCCCAGTGCTGCCGCCGAGAGCGAGCCCCCGCAGGCTGGCTAGGTGAGCGCCGCCCCGGCTGCCGGCGGGCTGCCGCCGCCCCAGCCCCCAGACGTCCGGCTGCTCTAATCTTTTGACGCGTGGGCCCCGTCGTCGTCGTCCGACGGGCGCCGTCGTGGTCGCCTCACCAGGGCGACGCCGACGCCGACGAAGGCGGCGGCGGTGGACGGCGGCGGGAACAAAAATACCGAAGCCGCCGCCGACGACGGCGGCCGACAACACCCACAAGCCGCGTGCTCCGACTTTTTGGTTGGAGCCTCGGCTCTCTGGGCCTGGGGGGCGGGGACCCCTGGAGCGAGAAGCGCGCGGCGAGGCGTGCCCCCCCTTCCCCCCGGCGGGGGGGGGGGGGGGGCGGGGCACACCATGAGGGGGACGAAGAGTGGCGCTAACACATCACGACTCGGGGCCCAGCGCCGATCCGAGCACAAATCCGCGCGGGATCCCCCCCGGCTGTGGCGCTCCTGCCGGCCCTCCGGGCCCCGCACGCCGCTCCCCGCCCGAGGGCCTCGGTGGGGGCGCGGGCCCCCCCCCCCGCCGCCGGCCTCGCAGCGGCCCTCCAGGCGGCCCCCCCCGAAGGCCGCGCTCCGCCCGCGGGGGGCGGCGCGCTCGCGCTCGGCGCCCGCGGGCCCAGAGAGCCGACGCTCGAACAGAAAAACGGAGCATGAGGGGGAGGAGGAGGAGGAGGAAGAAGAGGAGGAGGAGGAGGAGGACCAATATAAACCAACGAGTCATCAGCGATGTTGGAATTCACCCTCCCTCCAAGCTCCCTCTTCATAGACCCTATAACGGTTGAGGGAACTGCCTCGTTGGAAGATCACCGTTTGAAGATCCTGAAGCATACCAATACATTGTTTATAACTGTTGCACCCGCATAAGCCTCCGTCCTTCCAAAACAAAATCTCTGGCACGCTGATCCTGGGAATCCATGAAAATATTGCAAATGTTTAATCACAAATGCGCGCGGCGCTAAGGCGAAAGCAACATTTTGAAAAGGCGCCGACCTCAATCCGCGAAATTCTTACAACTTGTGATAACGAATTTGCGCGGCGCTGAGACGAGAGCCACATTTTAAAAAAGACCCGCCCTCAATCCGTGAAACTCTTGCAAATGTGTGATAACGAATGTGCGCGGCGCTAGGGCGAGAGCCACATTTTGAAAACGACCCGCCTTCAATACATCAAGCTTTTGCAAGTGTTTAATAACGAATGTGCACGGCGCTACGGCGAGAACCACATTTTGAAAAAGACCTGCCCTCAATCCATCAAGCTCTTGCAAACGTGTAAAAAAAACGAATGTGCGCGGCGTTAAAGCGAGAGCCACATTTTGAAAAACGCCCGCCTTCAATCCGTGAAGCTCTTGCAGATATTCAAAAAAACGACGAATGTGCGCGGAGCTAATGAGACAGCCACATGTTGAAAAAAAGGCCCGCCCTCAATCCGTGAAGCTCTTACACTTTCTGATAACGGATGTGCGCGGCGCGAAGGCGCGAGCCACATTTTGAAAACGACCCGCCTCGATCCGTGAAACTCTTGCAAATGTTCAAAACGAATGTGCGCAGCGCTCACACAAGAGCCACATGTTTAAAACCACCTGCCCTCAATCCGTGAAAAGATTGCAACGTTTTACAACAAAAAACAATGTGCGCGGCGCTCAAGCGAGAGCCACATTTTGGAAACGACCCGCCCTCAATCAGTGGCACGATTGCAAATGTTTGAAAACGAATGTGCCCTGCGCTCACGCAAGAGCCACATTTTGAAGACGACCTGCCCTCAATCCGTGAAACAGAGGTCACTTTCAAAACTTCAGATTCATAATAAATGGTGAGGAAGTCTGAGGCGAAACGCCTGGCCCGCCCTAAAAAGTGGCCTCGGGGTGCGACAGGGAGAAGTTAAGTATAAGGAAGAGGAATGGAGGAGGAGGAGGAGGAGGAGGAGGAGGAGGAGGAGGAGGAGGGGGAGGAGGAGGAGAAAGAGGAGGAGGACGATGACGAGGAGGAGGAAGAGGAGGAGAAGGAGAAGGAGGAGGATGCGGTTTTGGACCATTTTCGGTATCTGGGGGCCCTCGCCGGATCTAGGGAGCGTCAAAAAAACGGCTCAGGATGAAAAACCGGCCCTGGGGAAGTGGTCCAGCCCTCCCGGGCCCACGCATCGGAAGACCCGGACCGCCGACGTCATGATTTTGTCACAACGTCGACCCGCAGAGGTCTTGACCCATTCCACTGGATCAGTTTCTGGTCCCGAGTCGTTTCTTGACGGCCCCGAGGGCCAGTAAGGGCCTCCAAAGGCCGAAAACACTGCAGAATTATCCTGGCGAAGGACCCAACCATACAAAGTTGTGGGTACCGCAATTGTGAATATCTTATTCGGTGAAGCTCCCTATGGGGCCACGAAGCGCTGCGCTGGGCGGGGGTGGAACGCATGCGGGCGGTAGCACTGGGGCCGTCGGTGAAGCTTTCTAGGAGGCCACGAAACGCTGCAATGGTTGGGTGAAAATACCAAATTAGGCGTGTGGGACGCACGCGGACGGTCCCAGTGGGGGCTTCGGTGGGGTTCCCTATGGAGCCGCGAAGCGTTGCAAAGGGTGGATGACAATGCCAACTTGGGTGTGGGGGACGCATGTGGGCGGTAACACCGGGGGCTTCGGTGGAGCTCCCTATGGGGCCACGAAGCGCTGTGGTGGGTCTGTGAAAATGCCAAATTGGATATGGGGGGCGCATGTGGGCGGTACCAGTGGGGGCTTCGGTGGAGCTCCCTGTGGGGGACGCATGCGGGCGGTCCCACTGGGGGCTTCGGTGAAGCTCCCTATGGGGCCACGAAGCGCTGTGCTGGGCGGGTGAAAATGCCAAATTGGGCATGGTGGACGTATGCGGACGGTCCCAGTGGGGGCTTCGGTAGGGTTCCCTATGGAGCCGCGAAGCGTTGCAAAGGGTGGATGACAATGCCAAGTTGGGTGTGGGGGACGCATGTGGGCGGTAACACCGGGGGCTTCGGTGGAGTTCCCTATGGGGCCACGAAGCGCTGTGCTGGGCGGGTGAAAATGCCAAATTGGGCATGGTGGACGTATGCGGGCGGTCCCATTGGGGCTTCGGTGGGGCTCCCTATGGGGCCACGAAGCGCTGTACTGGGTGGGTGGAAATGCCAAATCGGGTGTGGGGGACGCACGCGGACGGTCACAGTGGGGGCTTCGGTAGGGCCCCCTATGGGGCCACGAAGCGCTGCACTGGGTGGGTGACAATGCCAAGTTGGGTGTGGGGGACGCATGCGGGCGGTCCCACTGGGGGTTTCGGTGGGGCCCCCTTATGGGGCCACGAAACGCTGTACTACGTTGGAAAAAAAATGCCAAATTTGATGTGAGGGACGCATGTGGGCGGTACCACCGGGGGTTTCGGTCGAGCTCCCTTATGGGGCCACGAAACGCCGTACTAGGTGGGAGAAAATGGCAAATTGGATGTGGGGGACGCATGTGGGCGGTAACACCGGGGGCTTCGGTGGAGCTCCCTATGGGGCCACGAAGCGCTGCACTGGGTAGGTGAAAATGCCAAATTGGGTGTGGGGGGGGGCGCATACATACAGGCAAAACAGATATATATATATATAT